TATCATGCAACTTCCACACGGCAAGTCGGACCATCACTAATAGGATCCTGTACTACCACTTGGTTGAAATACCAAAATGTTCCGAATTATGATTGTGCGATAAGAACTTTGGTAGAGTGCATCTAAGACCACGTTTTACTGTTCATCAGCGGCTTGTGCGGATTCTGGCGCTGGGCGAGCTACTAACCATTAGAACGCATACAGGACAGCGATAGACGCGGTATTCAGTAACAAAAAACCACTTTGATACGTTCTGTGTGGGAATTGCAAGCTGTTTCCTTATCGTTTGTCCAGAACGCGTAGTCACATCGGTGCGTCCGCTTAGCTGCAGACAGGCACCTATCATCCGGGGTACAAAATCGAGGCAACTGTGATAAGCAAGATGACAATGCAGTGGGACATCAATTCGAGCGAATCCCTGGCCACGGGACAGCGCATGAAAAGGCGGAATGTTCAGATGTCAAAACAGATAACTGGGGAATGGGCCCATGCAGTGGGGAAGGCAAAATAACAACAGGAAAGACGATGACTGATCGACGTCGGAAGCAGTTGGGTGTAGAGTGGAGAATGCTTCTCTACAGCCAGATGGGTCAAATGAGTTAACGCAGGGACAAAGTATGAATCGATTGCTTGTGATGACCGGTGAATGTGGCTGTTCCACGAGTTGGCCTGTAGTAGCTGAGTCACCAGGTCCGTCCAACTAATTTCTGATAGAATAAGTAACGTTGATTACTAATTTTTCACGAGATATACATCTTCGTGCTCGAAACGACATCCAGTAGGTGTTAGACTCTTGTCCTCTCGCTGGTCGTTACATCGATCCAAACGAGTGCGCGTCCTCTTGGTGGATGGAACCTTAAACATTTTGTACACTGAAGTATCTGTGAGGAGCTCTAACTCTTAAACGCCCCACACACCTGCGTCGAAATAGGAGCAGAACGTCGGCGAAGTTTCAGTTTACCACACTATCATATACCATTAAAATCAAGCGGCTCAATAATCATGGTACTACCAAGTTAGTTGGAACAAAGGTGAAGCTTGGAGGAAGACAGTTGAACCGCCCTTAGTGAAGAACTGATCCCTAGCTGCAACCGGCCATCTACAGAAAGGTAAACAAGGGGAAATTATTAAGGCTATCGTGCGCTTCGTCATTAGTTTGACCGTCAACAAATCGAGTAGGCTTGCGGGGTCAGGAGCCGCTCTTCCGCTTGCCACTTTTCGTAAACAAATTAATCAAATTGGTTAGTCAGATGAGGAGCTGAAAGTACATCGGCGACTTCCGTCCCCTCTCTCATAGATCGATGATACACATACACTTGTAGTGCATCAAAACCGAGTCGACTAAAATTGAAGGCACGTTCACTTCAAGGAAGTGCAACCAATCCATGGAGCGTACGATTCTGGTCAAGCAATGCCTCTTCATAAGGGTTATTCCGCTGCGGCTCAGGCGGACAAAACGATCTAGGCACCGCGCTACCTCAAACGATATGCCCACTGGTGGTAAATGTCCCAGCTTGGAGCCGTGCATTTGTGGCCCGTGGGGGGAGGTGGTAACGCGCAATCGCGGGGAAGGGGATACGGTCAAAGATGTTTTGTAACAGATCCGCCGCTGGTAAGGACGCAGAGGTACAGCACAGGTGTTGAAATTTTACACGATTAGGGATTTGGTGTTCTTATTGCGACCGTAGGGTTCGAACAGCCGGCGGCGATACAACAGTTGCTCCCATCCGGTTGGTTCGATTGCAGACCTGTCATCACCAGTCCAAAAAAACATCGCCAGCCCAGGTACAAAGGAAGTGGGTGGTCCCAGTTTCTGCCTCGCACTTATCACTGAGCAAACGTAGTCTTAGTTTGCAAGTTTCGCATAGACTGAAGGTCGATGGGAAATGGGGCCTTCCGGTCTCTCGTGCCTTCCACCATACAAGCCAGTGTTGCAGGAGTGGGTAGCTACACTACCGGTCCACAGTAGAAACGAACAACCATTCAAAGTTGCCGGTTGAGATCAGTCACAAGATGTCTGAGTATGCAAAATTACGACGGATGTCTTACACTAGCACCACTGACAGCGCCATCTCAACTCTGGTGCAAACCCGAAGGAACAAAAATTAGTGGATGGGAGTCATGATTGATTGAGAGAGGCACCCCACTCCCTTAACATGCGCATCACTGAGAGAACATTAAGGGCTGCCTGAGCCGCGACCCGTTCCATCATGGAGCCACGTTTTGAGCCTGACACGATTATAAAAGCTAAGGAGCCCGTCTACGGCAGCGATGATTCGCAGCCTCCCATATTCGGGAATTGAGGTGGTAGTATCAAACGGGTAGGCGGCACCCTCACAACACGCGTATCGTGCGCAACTATACCAGTTATACAATTCGGGAGTAGAAAAACTCCATAATCATTGAAGTATAAGCCGAAGTAAGCGGAACCATACACATTGTGAGCCCTCGTTGTAAATATTTCGATGCGTGCATTAAAGTACGTTGAAAAGTGAGGTGCCAAGTTCATAGAATCCATTTCAGTCTTCTCCACTCGAGCCTTTTCAATTGTTTACTTGAACAAGCATACCTCACTACTGTGAAGGACGTTGTCATCACGCTTCATGTTCTGTCGACTCAGCCGTGCCTGCCTTAGAGCCATACTAAAAAGTGTGCGCCAGGAAAGAAACCTTTATTATTCATTCTCTTTGTATGGGTAGAAATGCTTCACATCTAGAGACGGTCAGACAGTCATCACACGCCCGGAAAAGCACCGTACGGCCGTTTCATCTTTTCGGGACTCGCCAGCAGGGCGCCTTCCATCTGGCCACTGTGACGCAGAAACCCGCAACTCGACTGTTACCAGTCTGTGTTTGAGACCCCTGATGGTTAGATGGAATGTGCACTGCTGATGATTCCCGAAAGGAGGAAACGGCCACATAATACTTTTCCGGGCCTGTGATGGCTGTCTGAGTGAGTCTAGATGTGAGGATTTTCTACCTATACCATTCAACTCCCTCTTATACTCCTTTGTTTTCTTTTTACTCGACCCGATCCCCTTGTGGCCTTCATGCGGACATGTCAAGTAGCAATGTGAAGCTAATCAATTCTGCTATCTACATCTCCATCCCTATTTTCCATATGCTTTCCCCATTTGCTTTGTGCTCGCCTACTCCTAGGGTGCCGTTAAATCAATGTGTAGGAGCTGGTTGGAAAAGACTAACCAAATCTCTCGCACATCTCTAACCAATCTTCCCTTCTGTTTGCCTTGGCCGTCATAAAGAGTTTCCCTTACTGGTTGTCTCGGCTATCATGCACAATTACAGAGCTAAAAAGGAAGAAGTATCTTCATCTTTCACTCCCCTTATACACAACAAATTAGGGCATAGGGGAACATGTTGTTTAAAGTAGATGCTATATTCGTTGCTTTTGTAATTGCGCCTTAATGTTCCCTTTATCACCATACAGTTGCTCTCCATCCCTTATGCCAAGGTAAAAAACCTAATTCGAGTTATACATAGAGATCTCTGTCACGACTCAGTAATATATGTTATGTCTCTTGCTGTGGGGAAACCTGAAGAAGGTTCACAAACAACAGAAGAAATACCAAGAATGCTTTACCCAAAACAACGTTTGAAGATTCGAGCTCGAGAACCATCCCAGATAGGGTCAATATTTCCGCCGAATATTTAGAATAGTCCGTGGATATATTGATGAAAGTTAGCTGTAAAAAATTCGATCATGTCGAAAAGGGTATGCCTCGGGAAACCGAAAACATACATTATTATGCATTATTGTTATTATTATTATCATCGATCACTAGTGCTTGTGAAGTATTGTTCACATCTGATGGAGGCGTCGTATGATACCGGAATTCGCTGCCAGGCATCGGGGAACAGACAACCAGGGGATGAAATGGAGTACCCGTTTAATTCCAACCATTTACGCCGGGCTACGCCATACTCCTCGCACACCCGTTGCTACGTGTCATCGGTGTGTACCGCTTAGTAACTCTGTAGGCAGCTGTAGGTCGGTACGCGGTACCGACGGTTCACGACCTCACAACCATCACCAGTTGCGTGTGGGCTGAGGGTACCGCGAGGGTCGTCCAGTCCCTACGCAGGTTCGAACCCGCACCCTAAGATTACAAGGCAAGCTAGTGATTTTTAAGGCTACACAGATGAGTGGAGTTCAGCGGTGGTGGCAGGCCGATATTGGTGCAAAAAACCTACAGAAGTGAAATCGAAAGAGTGAGCGGGGTTGGTATGTGTGCCGTCTCCCCCCCATGTGGCGACCTCATGATCGACAAATTCAGCGGCAATAAGCTCTACACACTGGTTATGGCATTCAATCCTTAGTTTTCGATCGTTGAACCATCCACACGATAAGATTAGTGTATTTTGCTTAGTTCTTCTGAATTAACTTCCTTCATTCTCCCTTCGTTATTTCCACGGTACTTTGACATCATTACTTGTACTGAGGCGTGTCATGACAATCGGGTCCATTACACGCCGATGCAATGATCATAACGGACCTGAATTGAACCCACATGATGGATCATTTCTATTGTCTGACGAGTTGATCCCTGGCCTAATTCGAGTCTTGGAGTCGCACTGTGCTTCACCGGTGAGTTCTAGAGCCAAATGTCACTTGACCCATCTTCACGTTGAAGAATCCACACACTGGAGGGGCATAATGTTTCGGCGTGCCCATGAGCAGACTGATACGCACTGCGCATCTTTGGTACGATGACCCTTCCAGGGAATAGTGCCCTTACTGCGTCGAACACCTGAAGGGGTCCTGGGGCACAGTTCCGAAACATAGTGTTGTACTGAGGGGGCAAAAGAGTGCGCTGTTGGTTTTAATTACTACGAACAGTAAAAAATGAGTGACTTTGCGAATCACAACGAGTTGGAAGGAAGCCTTAGCTAAAAGGACAGCGTACGACATGATGTGCACACGAAACGATTTCAAAGAGATCTGTTTACAGCATAAATAACAACAGTAGAAATGGACTGCACCTGGTGATGTAGACAACCTTGGAAGTGCCACGCGGGAGGAAAAATGAGACTAGACGAGCCGGAGCAGGAAGCAGGTGCTCCGTTTGCTCCGAATTCTCATCGCATCCATCTGGGATATTTTGGCTGGATAACTGGTCAATCGGTCCAGGCAGCATATCCATGGTCTGCCGAAGGGACATCTTCACTGGTTTGATGAGATTGATGTGGATACGCAGTGTTCCGGCCAGACGACACGAATCATCCACCTAGGTCATGGGGGAGGACATACAGGAGGTACGGGTACAGGCTGGCGAGAACAAACATCTGAAAAAATCCAACCTTCGAGTACAAGGTGAAATAAGCAAACAGGCGATCCCCAGGGGGTGAAGGTGGTGCATAGGGTCTGGGCAGAAGTGGACCAGAACCCGATGCACTACCACAGTAACATCTTACCGGTAAAGAGATGGAAAGGATAATCACTCCGAGTATATTCGGAAGTGCAATTCACAAAAAGAATTAGTCGAGCTAACCAGTTACAACGGATCCGCGTCACAACGGAGTTAAGAAGAGAAGCAACAAAACGCCAGAAAAAAGGGTAGTAGGCCTTGGAGTACCAAGGCCTAACACTGAGTTGGGTAACTGTTTCGCCTCTCTAGAGTTGGTGTACAACGCAGATCGAAACGTGAACCCTCCGCTCTCATGACATGAGATGGAATCGCTGTCTCATGATTGGCACTTAGTAAGCAACGCAACTAAGCAACTGCATAGCACAACGCGCCGTTCTCTGTGTTGTGTTATGCAGAGCTCCAGCTGCACACTAAACAGCCTCAGTAGACCATGGTGGAACCTTTTTCGGAGTTACTCACAAAGGAAGGAGTGAAGCGATTGTAACCACGAACGCACAAACCGAGGTTGAAAAAGATAACGAGTTAGTTTCAGGGTCGTCTTTACCACCGCGGTAAGCGACTCAGTCAAGAAACACAGTGGGTTCTGGTGCATGTGGTTCATCGTGTAAGTTAACGCTGGTGAAGACAACCTTGAGTATCGGACCGGTCTACATGTACCAATAAGAAAATGTGCAGAGCCGACAAGAGGCACGTGTATACAGCGCGGTCGCAGTCTCCCACACATAGCCAAGTTAAACTTGGCGCCGAAGTGCACACGAAGCACCCGTCAAAACCCATGTGGGTACTGAGTGGCCGCGACGTGGAAGCAATTTTCAGGCTCATGTGGTCAGAGAAGAGTTACATAAATAAATTATTCCCGTTAGCGTTTCCGAGATTGTGATCAGCATGCAGAGACGAGTTACTAACAGTGGCTGTGCTTCTTGCTTTCAAGAGCATTGCTATGCAGACCCGCGTTAACGATGTGTGGATCGAGGGTGTATTCACAAGCCTTCAACCATGTCGTTCTGTAAGGCACTTAATCGGTTGACATGGTTCAATGCCATTCCATGCAGGAGTGCCCATCCAATTCATAACAGGATGTGCAACAGTGGAATACCGTAATGCAAGCATCCTCTTTGTGAAGAGTTTCGGATCTGCTCTTTGTCAACACTGCACTTCACGACCGACCGGTTTCGTCCTGATTTGGACTCGTCGGGTAGAGATAGCTTGAGTTGTGAAGGGAACCCAACACAGTGGTTGACTTTTGAAACATGAATTTCTCCTTATCAAATAAAAATATCATAAGACGAAGATTGTGGGATGACGCCATCATTACGTACCCATTCTTCGGCCACGTGCATGCACATAACAAGGGATGCAAACCAATGTCACATGCAATCAAGTAATGGTCAACTGTTTTCCGGTTGTTGCGTTGCACGCTACGACGGTAGGCTTAATGTCATTATCTGTTGTTTTTGGACACAGAGTGGTGGGCGCTGTCGATCGATAACAATGGCCTCGGGTAGGTTGAGTATGGGTGGCCTTTGACTACGCATGAGGACTGTGAATGACTCATCCGGGTTTATCTGGTGGCCGGTGCTCATCAAATGCCTCGTAATTGCGAAGGCAACTTTGCTTCTCAATTCACCAGGTGCAACCGTCGCATGCCCCATCCGTTTGCTGAGCCAATTTGGAATGTGTTCATTGGTTCGAATGCCTAGATCGCGATTAGTGCATCCAGCATAGCTGTCTCTAGAGCTACAGGAGAAATTGCATAAGCAATGGGCCGTGTACTGCTTCGACACCGGTGTCTTCACTAAACACTTAAGCAGTGGTCCTGTGGTCACTAGTAAGGATAGCTCTGCTGTATCGTATGTCTTTTTCATTGAATCACTTATTCTTTTGGCGGCGACTTTCATGACGGCTGTCGTCTTGATCACTAGGCTAGAGATCAAAGGTTCTATCGTAGTAAATTAATATTCGGTGAGTTCAATCATCGGTTGTTATTACTTCAAGTCGCAGACCGTGTCCCCTGAACACCGCTGCGAATCGCTGCCACCGACGCTCGCCGATGGATGGCATGTTGAGCTTCAGAGAAGCAACATAACTGCAACGAAGGGGCAATTTAAGCATGCGTCGGGTGTGAAATCGCCTACGTGAGTTGTCGGCAGAGCAGGCTGATTGGAAGCGGCTGGTGTTTTCTCATGTCACACAAGCCGCGGCTTAGCTCAGAGGCGACAGGAAGACGTCGAGGTGTTCCACTTGCTCACAATGCACTAAACAGCGGTGAAAGCAACATCGAAATTCGGACCGGAAACGATGAGTCGCCGGAGACATTGCTCGTCTTTCTAGACGGGGAGAAAATTTTGTGGCTGATGTTTCCTCGTGGTTGGTGACAGTCGTTTCCGGAGCCGATTACCAGTGAAGTTGCGGACAATAACAGAAGCTGCAAGTGACTCATGGTATCTGATACAAATCCGCTGGAGCAAAACCATTAAGCGCTTTGATGAAAAGGCACTCCAAGCCCTATGAGAAAGTGTTGCCTGTGAGTGGGTGAGTATGTGCAACAGTAGTAGCCAGATCAATGTCAAGCGAATGTCAAAGCGAGTCGCTCCATAGAGACACAGGTGGGTTCGAGATACTGCCAGAGAGTAAGCTGATGTAAAAAAATGACCAGGGGAACCACACATGTTAAACGCACGCAGTGTAGTAATCGCGCCTCGTTATGCCTCGTTATAGTTATGCCTCGTTATCAGGGATCAAATAAAGTGAAAAGTAGAGCCTGTCCCCTATCGCATGCAGCAGCCATCAGCCAAGAACCGAAGGTTGTGCAGTCGATGGGCTGGAAGTCCAGGATTTTGAACCACATGGCACAAGTCGAAAGATATCATAAAAGCATAACCAGCAGCGCATTTTGTTGCAAGCAATATACCGAATGGGATAGTACTCGTGTTAGGAAAACTCTAAGCGAACAACCGAGGAGCCCATCGTCCTTACAGAGCCAAGGCATGGCAGGCGAGCCAAACTCGCCCGCTCGGATTGGGGCGAACAGATAGCCAACCGAGTGAAGCGGCCAATTAACACGAGGGTGGCATTACTTGATTGGCCGTAAGTTGACCCTTCTGGAGTTTTCCACGTGAGCTTTAAATACCATACACAAACTTCGATTTTAACTTAATAATGAACGGTATGATTGGCTAATACAACCTTGTTCATCTGCTCGTCCGATTCGGTCTTCTCTCTCTCCTGTGGGGGGCCAGCGACCTCGAGTTTCGAATGACAATCAACTGTAAATTCAGCTGAGGGAAGAAGACTTCAGCTAGCGACGGATTGAATCCTAATCGAAATGTCAGCTGACGAGCTCAAAGCCATTCTGTTGCAGCAACAAGCACAATTTGAGGCATCCCAACTCAGGCTGATCGAAAAGCTTACGCACCAATTGTCAATCCAGACCGATTCACATTCTACAACCGTCAAGCCGTCTGCATCGGTAGATGCTATCACTAACAACATTACCGAATTTTCGTACGACCCTGATGCTAGTCTCACCTTTGAATCCTGGTTCAAGCCTTACGAAGATGTGTTCCGCGTTGAACTTGGTGATCATGATGACGATTGGAAAGTCCGATTACTGCTAAGGAAACTTGGAACAGCGGAGCACTCTATGTATGTCAATTTGATTTTTCTCAAGAACGCTCTAGGCTGCACTTTTGAGGAGACTGTCAAATGCTTGAACCAAATATTTAGACAGCAGTTATCCGCCTTCAATAAGCGATATCAATGCCTGAAGATCACCGCTATAGTCACTGATGACCACGTCACTTATGTTGGCATCGTCAATCGCGAGTGCAAAAAAGTTGGCATAAAAACATCTCGGCAGATTAGTTCCAATGTCTGATTTTTATCTGTGGCCTACATTCCCCACGGGATGCAGAGATTCGCACCAGGCTGCTGAGTAAACTTGAACAAGACCCGCAAATGACTCTACAGACCATAACTACTGAATGCCAAAGATTGCTGAACCTCAAGCATGACACGCTTATGCTGGAGAGGCAACAGTCAACCCCAAGTATTAGTGTATTGAAAACCACTACAAATAAACCGCTTCCAAGTGAAATCGGCCATGAAAAGCCCAGGGAGAATCCCAAGCCCCCGACTGCCTGTCGGAGATGTGGTGAGTGGCATTTTGTTCGAGTATGTCCATCCCTGGAACATGTTTGCCACAAGTGTCATAACGGGGGCTATAAGGAAACGCACTGCTGATGCAGACTGCTGTCCAAACGTGCTAGACATCCGCGACCGAATTCGAATATTCTCAAAAGATTCAGCAGCTATAGTGCGGTTCAAGCGGTATATTCTGATGAACATGAGGTGGCTCGCAGAAAGTACATTAGAGTTCACCTGAACAGGTACGTCTTCAGGTGGATACAGCTTCAGACATCATAATTAGCTCCCGCAAAACTTGGCAGTATATTGGTGCTCCGTCAATTAGCCGAACGACACATGTATTTAATAATTCAGGAGGTCAACTTATGCTCAATAGTCAGCTGCAGTGCGAAATGCTTTTTGGCGCTGCTCGGGCAAACTGCATCGCGTAGATTACGGAGCCGTCACGTTTGAATCTCCCTGGATTTGGTTGGATCCAGAAGCTCCACCTGTTCGACATTTCCCTGAGTCAAGTCTACAATAACCTCCAGCTCGGACATACTGGGTCTTCTTCGAAAGTGGATGACTCAAACAATAAGCTGATCGAGCAGCTACGAAGAAAATTTCCGTCTGTGTTTCGCAACGACTTGAGAAGATGCCCAAGGACCAAGGCAAGCCTTCCTCACAAGGACGGCGCCAAGCCGGTATTCCGACCCAAAAGACAGGTACCATACGCTGCGCTGCCGATTGTTGATGCGAAATTTGATCGTTTGAAGCGTGCAGGCGTCATCCAACCTGTGAACTATTCAGCATGGGCAACACCTCAAGAATACTAATGGAACCGTTCGTATCTATGCTGACTACTCTAGGGATTGAATGCTGCTTTAAAAATGCACCAGTATCCTTGTCCAGCCCCAGAAGATTTATTTGCTAAGCTCAGTGGTGGCATTTACTTTGCAGAGCTACATGTATCAGATGCTTATCATCAAATTAATGACGACGATGCTTCAAAGAAGTTGCTGACAATCAATATGCACCAAAGTCTTTACCAGGTCAACCGTGCGCAGTTTGGTGTCAAATCAGCCCCCGCGGTTTTTCAACAAATTATGGATATGATGTTAGCTGGGTTCTCAGGGGTGACAGCGTACTTGGACGACACTATAATCAAAGGGTCTACCTATCGAGAGTTAACGGAAAGACTGGTAGCAAATCGCAAGCGTGTTAATGATTACGAGTTCCATTTGAAAACAGAAAAGTGCAATACCGGAATGAAGTATTAAAGTATCTTGGCTTTATCATCGACAAGAATAGTCGTCGTCAGGATCCTTCCAACATTAGCGTCATCAAACAGATGCCTCCTCCTGACAATGTCGCGAAGCTCAGATCATTCTTGGGGTTGATCAGTTATTACAGCTCATATGTGCGCGAAAAGCATCGGCTAGGAGGACCGTTAAATGAACCTCTGGTAAAGGATCACAAATTTGTATGATCTCCAGAATGCCAAGCCGCATTTGATAAAATCGAGTCTATATTGTGTTCTGACCTATTGCTAACGCATTTTAATCCGGAGTTGGAGATCATAGTTGTTGCTGACCAACCAGACTACGGAATTGGAGCGGTCATATCTCACAATTTCCCCGATGGTTCGGAAAAAGTTGTGGTACGTGCAGCCAGATCACTCACCCCAGCGCAACGCAACTATGAACAGATCGAGAACAAACCTTTGGCTTTAGTGATTGCAGTCAAGCAATGTCACAAAATGCTATATGGAAGAAAAGTTACGTCGTTCACGGACCACAAATCCTTCATAGTAATCTTTGGATCAAAGAAAGGTATTCTGGTCTGCACGGCTAATCGTCTCCAACGTTGGGCTACGGTTCTACTTGGTTACGATTTCGTCGTCAAATATCAATCTACAAACAATATTGGTCAGGCGGATGTGTTATCTTGTTTAATTGGTACATAGCGTCCAGAACCAGAGGATTTGGTAGTTCCTCAAATCTCCGTAGAACCC